CCGATTTTATCGTCACCTCACTTCACTTCTCTATCACTAGTTGTTCTGCCTATTTTTTAAGTGAAATTTATAGGCAATATCCTAAGTGCCTGGTATTTATGTGTTTCGGTCCCTCTCATATCCATTTCATTATTTTCTATGTAAACCAGATTCAGCCGACGAAAGCATGCAAGCCAGTGGTCTTCACCAAGTAGGGCAACAGCCAAAAATAGCAGGCGCCATCCGATTGATACTTCTCGTGGCAGGCGATTTTCAAAAGCCTCGACTGGAAGTGAGTTCAACAGGAAGAAAGAAGAGGAGGAAGAGGGTGAAGTGTCTGAGGAATCTGATTCCAACGCATCAAGCGGGGCCGCCGAAATCTCCTCAACTAACTCCGAAGATTTCAGGTCTCCGAAGCCAGCCAGTAAACGCCCAGCCGCTAAAGCGCAAATCGTGTCAGTGCCTGCAGCTCTGGAGGTTGTTTCTATTGCTACTGACAAAACAGCACCAGCTCCCGGTAAACAGGGACAAAAGCGGGCAGTTGGGAGTAAGACGTCACCAGAGAAGAAGAGTAAAATCTCTGAAGATGCTGCGGATGACGAGGCGGCACCAAGCGACATTGATTTGGACGAGATGGAGGTGATGGAAGAATGGGTGGATGATCTGGATGAGCCGTGTGGCGCTGGTTCAATTGCTTCGTCACCTGAAGTTCATAGCAAGGTGACTGTAGTCGATTGTCACTAGTTTGGCTAGGGAAGCATATCTGGAATGATTAGCCTGAGAGCGCCTGAGTTTTTCTTATTGCAGCCGACATCACGTATAGGCTTAATCTTCATCAATATTTCCGGTATCCATTGAATGTTTGCTTAGATTCGCTCATAGCAGAACTTTGTCTGGCTGATGCATAACTTGCGCTGCCTTGGTCGATGCTTGATCAAACTCACCAGTTCACAATTGCTCTAGTGTGGTGGCTTTACATTTCTAGTATAATTCACTAGTTGTGTTTTCCTAACATATCTAAAACATATAACTTTTGACTATTCCCGTCTACTTTACATGTTTTTATATTGATACTTATGTAAATAGACTAAATCAATTAAAATCAGGCTCAGAATGTCGCTTATAGGTCCATTAAAAACTTTACCAGTCTCCTTATGTTGCAAACTTCTCCATCCCTATTACATGTGACATCTTTTAATTCGTTTTTGTGTAATAACCGCTATTATGCATGGTATCTCTTATTTTATTAGAGCAAGAATCGATTTTTAACTAAAGGGAAGCTTAAACTATATTAGGATTTTTTTAAATACTGTGTCTATTAGATATAACGTGTACTATTTAT